AGACTTTAAGCTGTAATGAATACAAATACGAATTCTAATGAAACATATGCCTTTTTTTTATCAAAAGCCCACTTGAATGCAAATTACTTTGACATCTTATTATTGATGTAAATATGTAGTGAAAAATATGTTTTTTATCATTTGTTAATACATAAATGTAATGTTATCAAACGTAAGCAAAAATGAATCAGAATACAAATTTACCCTGAACCGGAATTTACACTCTATTTTCGTCGTTTCCAAACACAGCCATATAGGTTTCATTTATTTGCAATGCAGATATTGTACTCGGTTCAATTTTACATCTGTTTATTTCAACAAGATGCTGTTTTATGCATTTAAATTCCAAGTTCCAACTAAACATCATCAAATTAATTATTTTGGTTAAATCATATGGATAGACAAAAGAGAAAATTATTACGTGTTGTCTTAAGATGACTGGAAAATTATTCTACCAGCAGAAGACAAGTTGCACGCCTTTTTCTTTTGTCAATTAAAAAAAAAGGAAGACAAGAAAATAGGATACTAAATTAACTAATGAAATTGCGAAAGATAATTCTTACAAAGATTATTAAAAAGATGAAACCATGAATAATGCCAAATGATGATACATCTGAGAAAGAAGTTTGTGCAAATGTTGATGATCCAGATTCAGTCAAAGCTCAGAAGTCGTCTCAGCTGTGGTTGTAGAGCCAACTTAAACAAGAAGTTCACCACGATGTACAAAGCTAAGATACATGCCAATATCTATTTTTTAGAAATCTGTAACCGATGTGGAATTGAGCAAAATTCTTGTAAAGTACTCTGCATCAATCCCGTCTATTAATACATAAAAAATAAAATCTACAGACGAAACAAACACCTACATAAGACAGTTTTTTCAACCCAACCCTGATCCGGGCAGCTTGACTGTTTGACTAAAGCTGTTGACTGAATACAAGTTGTAGACCAAGAGGCCAAGCTGGTAAAACTTTCGATGATGGGTCATGGCCTCATGGGTCAACCCATAAACCACAGAAGTACCATCGTTTCAAGTGTTGGTTTTCTTTGGACTGATGAACCCTTTACAGTTGATTCAAAGGCCACTGCTACCACTGACCCATCTCCGGTCAAGTGGTATATGAGTGGAAACCTTTCAAACTGTAACGGTCAGGTGGTGTATATGAGTGCAATCGATCATATAGTAACCCCTCTTGTTTCTAAGTTCATCAACCCTGAAGAACAGTGGTTAATTACCCTGTGTTGATAATGATACTGTAAGAAAATCATTATTCCAGGTGGCGTTTGGCTCTGTGTCGGCTTCACTTTGTATCTTTGACTGAGAGAGTTTTCCTCTTAAAATGTTCTCATAAAACAAGGAAAGCCCAACAAACCACAAAAAGCTATCTGCTTCTCTCTCAAGAGCCAACAATACATATACTACTAGAAGAAGACGCAGTTGGAATATCGAGACGAAATGAAATAAACCCATCTCAACCCAACACTACAAACATTTCTGGCTAAGAGAGCAGTTAGGGTTTGGTGTCCCTCCTGATGATACCCAAAAACCATCTTCTAATGGTCTCTTATCCAAGTTTTTTTTTTCGCTTCGCTGTTTTACCTTTTTATCCGCCTGTTTGTTTCTTCGTTTTCTACTTTTTTTTTTCTTTGTTCCATTTCAACTTTAAAATAATGGGTAAGTGAATGTCTCCTTAGAGTTGGAGGATATGATTTGTTTAAATCTGCTTGACTCTTCTAATTGCTGTGCTCTATAAAGTATGGTTTTTTTATGCATAATTGAGGTGTGAATGGAGGAAAATGAGATGGGATCTCTACACTCTAGCCTATGCCCTAAAGGTAAGGGAAGATTAAAAGTTGCAATCATGCATTGGATCAGCAGATTTACTGCTTATCTTGTGTTCTAATAAACCCAACTTGTTGAACTGGATTTCTATTTAATATCTAATTAATGGGAACAGAACAGTAAGCCATGAAGGTTTGACCATCTAGGCTTCTTACTATTATTATAATAATTAATTACATTATTTGATGAGAGTTTTGACTTTACTTCCTAGTAACATCACATTAAAATACGGACATTTTAAATTATTTGTCTCCAATATCTATGACAATATTGTACACCACTGAGATGGTAAAAGAATGGGTCAGGGAGAAAAAAAAAAAAAACCAGCAGTTTGATTCATAACTGGTGTTTCAGAAATAAATAAAAAAAGAGAAAAGTCCACCAATCAATTTGATATTCATGTTAAGCAGAGATCATAGAGACCATTCATATGAGAACAAACTAATCAGTCTTTGACAGTGCAGACTCAATATGGTATTTTCTTTTCCCCACTAGCTATAAGAAGTCACCAAAATTCCTCTCTAATGAAGGGACCACGGATGGAAGAAGCCCGCCCATAGTTGCTGTGATGGAGAGCTGATTGAAGGGCAAACAGATACAATTAGGTATAACAGAGATGGATGATGATGATGATGACAAGACTAAATCGATCATAAGATGACCAGAGAGATCATCACAACCCACAAACCAAACACAAACAATAGAAACTACAAAGTAGGAATAATGGGTGGGAGTGAGAGAATGTGGAAATGGCGTAGTTTGCGGGTTCCTCTTGTAATCTTGCTATTATCAAATTCCTACGCATCGGAATCGGGAGCAGTGCATCTCTGATATGTCCAACAAACAAGTCCAACCCAAACAAAACAACCACTCATGACGTGCTTTACAGAGTTTCTGAGTTTCTCCCTTTCTCTCTCTTGTAGTTACTATATGCATGCATGGTCGGTGGGGTATAACCATTAACCCCAGGTTCCTTTATGGATACAACGTCAATTTCAAACCCCCCATTTTTATTATTGTTATTTTTATTTATATGCTTTCTGTCTGAGCCTCCAAGCAGGAGTGGGGTTTTCCTTTCCATGCCAAATTCCTATTCCACGGGACAAAGTAATTGGGTCCTACCCGACCATATGCATAAACCATAATGCTTCTTCATCTCTCGTCAGACTTGCTTTGGCTGTAATACACATATACTATTTTGTTTGGAGGCAGAAGGAAAGGAGTCTTTGGTACCTCAGGCCGGCCCAGTGGAGCTGCAAGGGACTATCTATCTTTTGGTAACAAGTATAAATTAGGAGGAAATTGTAGATTGGTACCATGTATTTTGGGCCTAGTCTCACTTTGGTACCCGAATTTTAAAATGTGCCAATCTAATACCAATTTAGTCCCTGCTGTGAGCATTTGATTAGTTATTGTATCGTTGTGATGACATGTACGATTTTAAAAATATCAAAATTATCCTTCCAAGTAAGACCCTGTTCATTATCTTCTTCCTCAAGAATCAAGATTGAACCAAAGCATAAAGCATTGGTGTATAATCCGGAGCATTTAGACTTGGGCATTTGGATGATTGATAAAGAAAATTGGATAACACCCAAAGGCCATTTGCATCTCTTCACATGCCACGGACTAAACTGGAACATTTTGGGAGCTTAGGTACTGGGTTGCCATATTTTGAAATTTGGATAACAAAGTGAAATGAGGCCCAGAGTACAGGGTACTGATCTGAAATTTAGTGGATATGTATTCCTTGGAAAGAAGACACTAATCTTCACGTTTTGATTTGATGACCATTCAGTCTTTTTTTCTTTCTTTCTTCTTCGTTTTTTATGAAGATGACTATTCAGTCTATAGTCATTCTCTTCTTTATTTTTTTGGTTGTGTGTGGGAAATCATCTGTCAAGCTAGGCCTACAACTAACAGTGACTACTGATGAATAACTTGCTACACTAATTGAGGTTGTTTTCCTACCACTGCCAGAACTAGAGCGTCAAGCAGCTGCTGGAAGGAATATATTTATTGGTTGCTTCACATGCTTTCGTGTACGATCAATTAATTGGGTGAATGCTGAAGAAAAGAAAAATGAAGATCTATGGCTGCTCTTCGATCGTCATCCCATTAATTTCCCACTCAGTTTGGGTATCGTGACCACTCATCTTGAGGCTGAGGCCGGGTTTCAATTCCTTTAATTTTTTGGGTTGATGAGGGTCATGGAGTATCATCATAACAGGGGTTGAAGTAAGAAGAAGATAAGACCCACCAAAAGGAATAACTAATAATGGAGTAGGACGCAAAGGAACATGAAGATGGTGGGTCACCACTCATGACTCATCACCTGATGTTGTCTTTAGAATCCCAATTCACTTAGGTATCCGACTGGTCCCCCAGAAAATCCAACGGTTGAGATCATACTCTGTAATGGCCAGTGCCATCACTCTAGGCCTTTAGAGCTCTAGCCATTACCCATTAGCATTAGCCCCAGTTAGTGTTAATAATCTGCATGAATTAAGCTCTCTGTTTGAGATATTCTTAATTGGGGTTATGCGTGTGTGAGTTCCACCACTTCCAGACTTGCAGTTCCACCCCAAACTTTAGGTGTCGACTAGTAAACATCTAATATCTCTTACTGAGATCTCTGGAATTTCTGATAGTCTGATAGTCTGAAGCAGCAGCAGCAGTCCATCCTTCCATCGTAGGCTCGTAACAGGACTTACTTAAGCTCGTTTTTGTCGTCGTAATTAAAACAGATATCAATCAAGATAAAAACAACGAAAACAACAAACAATAAAACTGCTTCACCCGAGGCCGAGAAGAGAGGAGAAAAAAGAATAAAAGCAATAAAGAAAAGCATGGCATTGGTTCCAGTTCTTGCTTTGGAACTTTTTCCTTGGCCTTTCTCTTCATCTCTCGATACCCACGAAACCCAGCAAGTCTCTCTCTCTCTCTCTCTCTCTCTCTCTCTCTCGTTAAATCCCCTTCATTGGTTCATTAACGCTAGCTGCAACCCATTCAAATGCTATCGGTTACCACTTACCACACTACGGTCGGTCTCTCTCTCTCTCTCATTCATAAATCATATTCGTTCTACTCACTCCAAGCGCCACTGCTATTTAAAATATGAAAGAACTAGTCCGCCAGCCAACTCCCAGCTAAATATATGGGGGAAGAGAAAAAGAAAAAAACCAAGTTCTGCATCAACGACCACCAAGACCTCCTCATCGAGATACTGACGAGACTGGATGAGCGCTCCCTGGGAGTGGCTGCCTGTGTCTGCCGCCTCTGGTGCTCCATTTGCCGCAATGATTCGCTCTGGGAGAACCTCTGCTTCCGCCAAGTATCCCCTCCTACGCCGGATGTAAGACCGGTGGTGGCGGCCCTTGGTGGCTATAGGCGTCTCTACATGGTCTGCCTACGCCCGGTGCTGAGTCGGCTCTCCAGACTGAGTCTAGGAACGGGGGCCAACTACTCGGGAGGCAATGGGAGGGTCTGGACTCGAGACGAGGTGCAACTCTCGCTGTCGCTCTTCTCGATAGATTATTATGAGAGGCTGGGTGCGAGGAAGGATGGTGATGCCCATGCGTCGGCCTCGTCGCTTATGTTTCTCTGCAAACCGGTGAATGTGTGAGTCATGAGATCGACCTGAACGTTGTGTGAGAACTGAGTGATGAGATTGAGAAGTACTCCGCCATTAAAAGCAGAATGAGGGTGTTTTGTTTTTTCAGTTACTATTTTAGTTTGTTGTTTTCTACCAACCCATAAAGCAGGTTAGAAGAAGCCATAGCCGAATTCTTTCTTTTAAACGTGCATGCCGATTGATGTGTTATTGCAGAAGACCAGAAAGGTCCCTCTGCTTGGCTGCCTGCATAGCATTTCTCTCATTGCATTGCTACTATCATGTATTATTTATTCTTGATCTTAGTATTTAAGATGATGAGAACATTTATTTGGATTTGGATTAATACCTAAAAGGAGGAAGAGGAATATTTGCTCATAGTCTTTTGAAGCATGCAGTTAGTTGTTATTTTGTTCCAGATGGGATGAATGAGAAAGACTTGAGAGGATTTGATTTTCATGGCGTTTGGTGATGATAGTAGTTATAAGGATTTGAATTGAAGATTGTTTAGGCGGACAAACATCATTCTAATTAATATTTGCAAAATATATTATTTATGTATTGTTTGTAGAGTTTTTGAATAAATGTAGAGGGCCGGGGGACAAGTGAGGGTGGTAGTGGTAGGGACTAGGGAGGGGACCCTCGGAATATAGAGCTAACTAGCTAGCTGTCTTTGACGTTGAATGTTCTTCCTAGCGTCTACAGGTCCGGTGTCCGGTCCAGCTTCCCTTCCCTTGGCTTTTCTTCTCAAGAGAAAAGAAATTTTATCTCATTTGTTTTTCCTTTTCTTTTTTCGGGACGAGGGAATTCTTGTCCCTGCAGTCTGCACGATCCACCCCCAGCCCAAACGAGAAAGGACCCCAACTTGAGCTGCTGACTGCAGTGTATGTATATGATCCAACTTAAACCTCCATTTGTAGTTTTGATTTCTGAACGGATTAAAACGCAAGAGAGGGGGAGAAAGTGTGGTGGATCACTTTCAGCCTTTCAGGTGCCCGGTCTAATAAATGGGTGATGATGATAGATGTTTTGTTCTGTTAGGATTAATAAACCCCTCCACTGTCCACTCCACCCCCTACCGATACGGAAATATCAGGCTCTGAACCACACAGCGAACAGGTGCAACACAGACAGGCAGACAGATAGACGAACAGGGAGTTCCTGTTCACTTGCAACTGGTTGCCCGTACACCTTACCATTTCTCTCTCTCTCTCTCTCTCATTTTGGTCACTGTCTAATCTACCTTTGCATCCAAGGGAATGTTTTCTCGACACCATACATGATACATGTGACCTACATACCACATTATTTTTCTTCTTTCCGAGAGGTTTTATTTTCCCGGCAGCGGCAATTCGGCAAACATGTAAACCACCATATAATTTGAACAAAAATAAAGTTGATGGAAATAAAAACGGTAGCACGGTGCTGAGACTGGGCTAAAAAGTGAACAGGCTAATTAGCTAGCCTTTTTTACGTAGCAAAATCAACTTTCCGGAGCGTGTTTAGTTGGCAGTCAGCATTGATAACGAGGAATCAGAGAGAGCAGAGGTCAAAACTCTAGGAAAGGCAACGGCGATGGACTATTACAACATCAACTTGTAAGCTTGCAATAGTTAAAACTCAGCAAAAAGAATTTTTACCAAGCAAGGAAACGACAGTATCCAGTGGGGGACGATAGCATTTTATTTTTATTTAATAACAAAACTGCTGTTCTAGTACACAGTACACACTTCTCTTTCTTTAACACGGCCATTTTCTAGGTTAGCCATTCACACAGCACAATACCCATGTCCAGTCCAGCCAAACTCTCTCTCTCTCTCTCTCTCCATCTTCTCATGCCATCCCACCACTTGTGGCTGTCCTAATTATCTGAAACAGAGCTGCAAATCATAAAACCAACGAAATTAAATCAATACTTCTGAAGCAGAATTGATCACTTGCTTATCCCTATAATAGATTTCAATTACCGTTTGTGTACCGAGGTACAAGCTACAGGTTAATGGTAAATTAAGAAAAAATAAACAGAAAAACAAATAACATTTCCATATTCAAGGCAATGAAATGCAGGTGTGGAGTCTTTTCACTAAAGTTCCTACTCTAGTATGAATGGGGGTGCACAATGAAAATACATAGACAGTTCTATCCAGTAACTACGCATATCCATCAAGCATTTTCAAGTAGTCTCATAACACCCACAAACAATATCGTTTTACTATATATATTGGAATCAACCAAGGACGTTATCCAATGTTTGGTTTGGACTCATCTACTGGGGTACTTGGGAGGGATGGAGTGATGGACCGGTTAGAGACCTAACCAGCATTTTCTAAACAAAGTTGCTGCTCTCATATCTTACATTCTCACACTTGTCAGCCTGAGATTTTACCATTGCTAAGCAATGACCCCTACTAGCACAGGTAGTAAACAACAACAATAATAATCAAAACCAATACCAGTAAATCGAATTCACATCAAAGCCCCATAGCACATCCCAACCGTGTATTTGGAACATCTCCCAATGACAAGTACAGGAGATGTTCCCAATGTACGCTGAGATGTGCATGTGGGGCACATTGTGCCAGGCACTAATGTGTATTCCACTAAACCCCACGAAACAAATATTTAGAACATGGGCACAACATTTATGCAGCAATGCATGCTATATTTAACAAAACAAGTTGCATCACTCTTAATGGTATCATATGACAATACGTAAGGTAAACAGAATGGGGAGTGAGACCAATAATGAATGCATTTAAAAAAAAAGGCCAATAGTGAATTATCCCAGCAAGGAAATTGGCATAAAATTGTTACTAGGAATTGGTAAGAGTTATCAGTAGTTGAATTCATGGGTCCGCCTCAACAAAGATTGATACAAGTACAATTTATTTGCTACATCGTAAGATACTGGTAAGTAGTAACATGTTATTTCTTTTTTGATACTGATAAGCGGTAACATGTTCCACCTCATTCATAGGCTTCTCAAATAATTATTGAAACTCGTTAGGTATTACATTGGTAAACAATTAGGAATGTTAATGGAATAAAGGTATACATTAAAGCTCAGAACTTATTTAATATGGTTGAAACCAAGAGTAATCATGTTTTAAGTCAAAAAAAAAAACACAAATTATCCAAACTTGAATTACAGGCATGGATATCAAATGAAATCCACATATATCAATCCAAGCAGAAAAGCAAACAGGGAAAAATAACAATAAATGACAGTTCGATCTACTACTACATTAGGATTTGATTTATTACTATAATACCATATCAAGAGATAAATTAAAAGACTCTTTCCTCGTTGAACACTTCAATCAAGAGTGGTTAACGTTTCTGTGACTTGCCTCACCATAAGGGGCAAATCGTCATGCAGAGTTTCTAAAATTTCTTCTTTTCCCTACTAATGGGGTTGCCATCCTATTTAGACCCCTTGTTTCCGACATTTTGGAATTCATGTAGACAACCCTATATGGTTGGAACAAGGCCTAGATGATGATGACCTGAAACTGCTATTTACCGCCTGTGACTGATGAGAGGATGAAACTCTGCACTAGTGCTACTAAGCTACAATCTCTTGGTCTCATCCCAATATGAATTTTATGATGCTCTAGTGAAAGAGATCTTCTATGACCATGCAAAACACAGTTGAGAAAGAAAAATTTAAAGATGACTTCAGATATTAATGGAAAAGATGCTGACTAGGAAGAAAGAAGCATACATGATCCAATGACCACAAAGACAAAGAAACCAAGTACAATTGGTCCAACCGGGTAGTCATATCCTTTTTTTACTGAGGTTTCAGGAACAGCTCCCCTCTTTGTGATGTTTTTCTGAAACTTGGCAACTTTCCTGTCTGCAAGGCGCCTTGAGGTAGTCTGTCAAAAGTCAATTCATCATACACAACCATGAGCTCATGGAACGGTAAGGGATTGGTTATATAATGGCTTGATCAAGAAAATATTCATCTAATGCAAATCCATTTTGGTTACCATGATTAAGATGCTGTATAACACTCAACCAGCAATCAAAAATGCCAAAACTAAAATAATGGACATTTTTATTTTATAACCCACTTCATATTAACAATGCTCTATGGTTATTAACCAAAGTTTCAATAAAACAACCCAAAGCATGTAAATCTATGGCAGGTATGGTTTGGATGCCAGGCAACTGCTAAATGCTAGTCACATATGTCCAGATACATACAAATTAGTGTTTAGAAATGTGGAGGTGTGAGATGAGGCACTAGGACCTTAAAATGCACGAGAGAGCATCATGGAGCTTAAGGCTCATAAATATATGAACATAGAAGTCTGTATTTGTTTTAATTTTTGCAACGAATTTCTACATTTTTAAGAAATTAGATGTCCTCACAGAATTTTAATTTTCTATCCCTCAGAAAAATATAACAGAATATAGTGAAATATTCATCAGATATTAAAATTTTGCCATTGTAGTATATGATTTCATTTATCTTTTCCTATTCTTTCCTAGATTTCCTGGTCTGAACCCATTGTATAGTAAATCCCTTGAGAAATTTATCTGCAAAAACTCCTTAACTAAATACTATGTGAACAATTATGCTAGCCTCATGGAACTAATTACAACTATAGGTAGATCATGTTTCAGGACAATAAAAAATGCCTTGTGTTTGCAAGAACATACATTCAATTCACATGTAAGGTATGACAAGCAAATAAAATAATTTGGCATGTGTACTCATAATTTGTTTTCTATTCTCTTTTTAGCATTTAGCAATTACTAGTGTAAAGGCAAGTAAGTATTCACCATATATGATATATGGTATTTAGATTTTACTTTTATGACCTGCACAGAATACAAGGCAACTATCTACTTTATATAGTATAGATATAATAATTCACAAAAACCATATAGGTAACTACATATGCTATTAAATTACCATTCACAAACATGCAACCATGGATTTTCTTTCTTTCTTTTTTGATACAAAGAAAGCAATAACACCAGCGGGGCAGAGCCCTGCCAGCAGCATCAAGGAGAACCAAGTAACTTAGGTCTTTGACACGAGCTCATCTTCCTTCTCTACTCCTTTCTTCGCAAGCCAGTCAGCAGCAAAGTTGCCTTCCCTACATGTGTGTGAGTATTCAATCTTGGCATGGGTGTTGAATGTTGTCAAAATCTTACGATTTACGATACGATTCAAGATTTGAATCATAAATCCCAAGGGTTTTGATTCAAATCTTATGTCCGAATCCTTCTACGATTTTTGCTTGAATCCTGCGATTTGGTTCATAAATCTTACGATTTATATGATTCAAATAAATTCAATTAAGAATTAGTTCTCTAGTTTGTTATGCTTTTGTTTATATCTAATTTTGTCAAGGGAGATTTTTTTAAAGCCCTTACTAGAAAATGATTTATTTACGTTATTTAAGACTAGAAATTGAGTTTATTTTCCATCATATGTTGGTTATGTCATTATATGTGGATTTGTTTGACTTTCAACTCCAACTTGATTATGTCATCTCAGGCTACTATTGTATAAGTGGTAAATTCTATTATTTTAGGTACATATATGGTATATATAGATTAAAAATAGGGTAAAGTTAATTTCCTATATATATTTACCCTTTAGTTATATCTATATTTAATTTTTTGACAAGTTTATAAAAAATAGAAATAATCTTACGATTCATGATTCGATTCGATTAGACTTTCTCTACAATTACGATTTTCAAAACATTACAGTTGAGGGCTAGAAATTTGCATTCCTCTAAAGACGGATTGGCACGTCCATGGAGCTTCCGCCTGATTTTGGAGGATCTTGACCACGAGGAGTGAATCTCCTTCTAATATAATCAATAGGCATCTGTGGTGAGAAGCAACCAGTACAGCAAGCTTGTGGGCTTGGAGTGCAGCCCACATTTCCACTGAAGTGATGGTGGTTGTTCCAACTTCCCCCCATCTTTGCTATCATCATCGATCCTAGATGATTTCTGGCCATGCAACCATAACCACACCAGCCATCTTCTTTGGCTCACGCATCAAAATTAATTTTGATGGTGTTTGGATTAGGAGGGGGGTCCATCTGATCCAGTTTAGGACCTTGCCATTGTGAGAGTTCATTGAGATTGGAATCCCATTTGCATCGATGAATTCTCTCATGTATTCCCAGGCTTTCTTAACAATTGTAGGAGGATCCATCGTTATGTTCCTAAAACATTTTTTTTTCGTTTCTAATTTTCCAGAGGAACCAAAACATGAAGACTATTCTTTCAAGGAACCAAGGATTCTCCTTACTAATTTTGTGGTCTAACACCTCTGGCCACCAGTCTACTAATTACCAATTTGGATCCCTCATTTGTCTTTGGATATCAGTCCCCATTAAGCTCCATACTTGAGATGACACATGGCATTTGATAAGAATATGGTCACGGTCCTCTATTTTGCCACATAAAGGGAAGGTCATGTCTGTGGTAAGCCCTCTCATAGCTAGCAATTGTTTCTAAGGAATTTTGTTTAAAATAAGGAGCCATAAAAAGATTTTAATCTTTTCCGGGCATGACACCTTTCTTGAGCTTTTGATAATTCTAAGGGTTGTATTATCCAATTTAGTGTCTTCCCTTAGATTCCCTTAGAAAATTGTAAGCTGACTTCACAATCAGATTTCCATCTGGGTTTTCTCCCCATAAGAAAAAATCCTCTTCCTGTTTTAAGGTAATATGGATTGCTTTGATCCATTTTATTAAGTAACGTGGAACTTTCTCCTCCAATTTCCTCTGGTTCCATTCTCTATTTTCCCAGTCCATATAGTCCTTAATCTTCTCCTCTTCATCTAGATGGGTGAACTCGATACCATCTAGTTGTTCCCTTATTGGCCGCTTATTAATCTAGGTACCACTCCAGATTTTACAAGTCTCACCATTCCCTAATTTCCAAGTGATTCCTTTCCTTAGATGTGCCTTTTCCTCAATGATTTTTTTTCCAAGCCCAAGAGGCCCTTTGGGTTTTATGGTTTAGGAACGATTCCTGTTTCATATATTTATTTTTAACTACTCTAACCCATTGTCACTATTATCTTTTAAAAGCTTCCAACCTAAGTTCATAAGATTGGCCATATTTACCATCAAAAGATTTTTAATACCCAGACCTCCATTATTCTTGGCCGTACATACTATTTTCCAGTTCGCTAATGCAAAGTACTTCTTGTTTTGTGTTTTGCTCCCCATAGGAACTTTTAAGTTAAAAATTTAGGTCATTGATAATTAATGCTACTTAGGGGAAGCTCTTATACGAGGTGAGGTATAGGAGTGGGATGGAATTGGAGTGAGTAGATGGGCAATCTAAAGAGTCTTATATCTGGTAGATGGTTTAGATTGGCCATATAATCATTTTCATGTTACAGAAATAGGGTATATCATGAACGGAAAAACTAATTAATCCGATTCAGAAAATGTCTTCGGTTATTAGATATTCTAAGGCAATGAGGTACAAGGTGCCAGATGCCAACTTGTAGGTTCAGGTGGTCCACAAATGAGCTTGGTAGGTCATTTGCATTTACTTTTATAGCATAAAAAATCAATGTTGATGTGTCATATTGAGCCCTAGAATCTCAACTATGATATTTGATATTCTTATTCTTTGTTTTCTAAAAAAAAAGTTATTGATTGTGTTATAATAGCGAGTGTTAAATGTGTTTCCACATCTCCTTCAACAGTTCATATGATGCTAATGCATTCTTCTTTATGGTTTCCCAAATGTCTTCATGGTTCATGAATTTTTTATAACATTTATACAACATGTGTATGTTCCCACAACGTATTTTCCTTTTAATGCTTGGACCAAGATAATGCGATTGATGTATAAAACCTTGACTACAAGTCCACTCTGAACCTAAATAATGGAAGCGACCTAGGTTTGAAAGCAGAGGTCCAAAAGCCCAAAACTCATGACAAGATAAGATGTTTTTCCATGCTAGTTGAACTTAGAACACAACAATAGCATTAAAGTTGGGCAAACATATTGACTTAGATATACATAGAAAATTATCCTGTTTGAATCCTTAAAGTTTGGTTTAACTTAGTCCTGTTGGTGTCTCCAAGTCATACTCATACCTCCTTTTCTTCCCGAATACCAACAGACCTCTAAAAGGGGAACCAACTAAAGAATAAAAACTAAAAGCTTGAAGAAATACCTAAAAGGCATGCCTATTTAATTCATCAAGGAATTATGCACTGTTCACAATAACAGAAGAATGAAGCATAATTTTAAACAGTTAACTTAGCAAACCATAGCAATACAATCTTATCTTATTTTATTTTATTTAATTTTTTCGGGAGGGTGAAGGGGCGGGGGTTCTTATCAACAAACAGGAATCATACGAATAGATTCAGCATACATGCCGTTATTCATGTCAATTCACCTAATAAGAAATTAAGAATCCAAAATAGAAACAAAGGGATCAAGAATTGAGTGTGATCTGCGAAAATAGATGAAATTCACAAGCAGACAGCAACGACGTGAAGAATAAGATTCTACGCAGAGAAGCCAATATAAAGAATAAAAATTAAGCTAAAAATAGCCTAAAAAGAAAATCCTTATGCGAAATTCCACCCACAGGAAAAAGTTGAGTTTAATTTTAACAACCAAAACCAGAAGACAACGCATAAAAAGAAGAGATCAAACTATCAGCACAACATAATAACCCACATCAATACCATAGAACACAAATACAAAGCAAGCAAAATGAAGTCATGATTCCGGGGGAAAGTCATAAAATGACCAGTCGGACCCAATCGATCAGAAATTAGGGATGTGGAGCACCCAAAAGAAAACTTTACCATGTTGTCTTTTTTGTCGTAGAAGTCGAAGCCGAAACAGAAGTTGCAGAGAGAGTAGTAGGGCGGAGGGAGAGATGAGGATGGTAAAGGTATGAGCGAAAACCAGGTTGGAATTGGAAGCCCCCCGGTTTATGGAAATGTGGTGGGTGATAGACAGACGGACGGACGGAGGCGCGTTTTTTGTATTTATTGGAGAGAGAGAGAGAGAGGGAATTCATATTCATATTCATAATTCGTTCAAGTTGTTGAACCAACCAACACGGCAAGTGAGTCGCAACACTAAACACGGACAGAGTCCAAAAAAAAAACAAACACAGAGTCTACAAGTTTCAAGCGTGACTCAGACTGTAACTCATCCGTAAATGCCCACGTTCTCTGATTTGAGATTGTGGGGTGGGGCCTCACAAATCAGACGGTAGGGACCAGCATGATCCAAGCGGAGTAAGGTCATTCCAACGTGTTCATGATAAAACCAGAGGACGCACACGTATTAAGTGTTACGGTTATACCTATAAATAAGGGGTTTTGTCTTCTTCACGATTTAGATTGGAGTTGGATAGATTCCATGATTTTATTAACAAAACTATTTTATTTAAGTATATCCTGTTTTTGACACGTTCAATATAAAATAACACTGACAACCCTAAAATAAAATAGGTCTTTTGTTAGTGAAATTCTTAGGGCCTTACAATCTTCTCAGGAGCTACTGGATCCAATTTCTTGGTTGGCTTTTGTCTTACAAAATGTTAGATTTTTTAACACAAATATCTTGTTGTTAATGGTTGGTTGCCTGGCTCTGATTTTTGCATCATAATTGTCTATGGCAGGGTTCTCCTTTAGCAATACTTGTGCTTGCACCAGGATATTGCAGAATGAGAGCTTGTCCTACTACGTACAAAACCTGAAATTGGATCATATGAATTTGTAGTGTAGAGGCTGAGTTCTGTGTGATTCTCATCATCTCATGCAATGGTCTTGACTGGGTTCTAGGTATGACATCCTTAGGAGGAGCGATGTGAGAATTTTTAAAAAAGACTTTCTTTCCTCACTCTCCAGATGACATATGATAGTATACAAGCAACCTTTGCCAGCAAGGTGTTTAAACTCATGTCAACCTGTCCCACCACTTTTTTTTTTTTTTATGGAGATAAATAAATGTATCTTCCTCTTCATTTATTTCAACGGGACTCAAGACTACATGTGCTTCACACCAGACCGCCCTTGTATAAGGGATTGGGTGGTTTCTCTGTTGACTTGGCACAAAGGATAATATAATTCTAAACAAAATCCCTATATATACACCGGTAGGGGATGTTCAGCTGAAGTGGGTTTGTGAGGAAGATGGTTGTTGGGTTTTGATAGTTTTGTAAGCTGACTTGACTGAGTAGATCCCCAAGGTGTTAGGTTTCCATATGATATTGTCATGGTTTGATTCTGTGTTAGTAGTGATGGCTTGAACAATGTGTGAACTTGTTTGGCTATCAAAGAGTTCAAACAAGGTTCTGTGTTTGGGTTTAATAATGTTGAGACAAGCTGGTTGTTGTTTTGTACAAGGATTGGGTTATTGGGGTAGGGTATACCTCCTATGATGGTCGGGATCCATGGATTTAAGAAGATTGATATTTTCTCCCCTGTGCTGACTTGCCACAATATATTGGGTTTGATCTCTTTCAAAATCCTGAGTGTCAAATGCCACCAGATTGATAAGTTGTGGGTTTTTTTGGGTTAGAAATGGGCTTCGTTTTGGGAAATATTTTTGTTTCATGAAGTGGCTCCATAAAGTGTAGGGGGAGGAGATGAGTCGCCATACTTGTTTCCCAAAAACTGCCTTGTTCATGTCTAATGAAGGATGATTTGACCCGACCTATGAAACGGTGACATGTGGACGCTGATTCAGCGTAAGCGACAGCTCAGCATTGTGGTCCAGTACGGCTAAGTGATAGGCCCATAAAGCAGCTCGCTACATGGTAGCGGGGKAAAGGAGGGGCTCGCCACAATGCGAGCTCCGGGTCCCCCGAGCTACCTCAAGGGATATTCCGAGGCAAACTTTAACTTGCGAGCTAAGAAAGCCAGCTCGCCCGAGCTCCCGAACA